CGGAGCCGCCTGCCGACCCCTCTGCCTATCACATTCGGGTGCGTTACAAGCGCAGTTGGCAGGATCCCAACGGTCAGTATCTGAGCCTGCCCGCCTGCACTTCATCGACCGCCAGTGAGGGTTGTGAGTACAATAAGCTGGTGGAGTACCTCCAACCTCTGCGCCTTCAACCCGATGATTTTGAGTCCGCCTGCCGCACAAAGATCCACCGTCATTCGCTCTTCCTGTTCTTTGGCGTTGCTGCTTTCGGTCTGTTATTAGCTTTTTGTGGTCTAGTGAGCACCTGCGTGTTAGTCTCCCGGCGGAGACGGCACTTGCAGTATGAAACATTTACCAACGAGCTGGCCTTTTAACCCCCCCCCTTCCCACCGTCCACCTCAGCGAGTGTCCTCGATGTTGACCGTGATTAACCGTTTACCGTCTCTGACTCACACCGGTTCATCTGTTCTTTTACTTCAATTTTACAGTTGCCAAGTACTCTTAAACCTTGATTTGGCATGGAACTGGGTCCATTTGTCGATTTAGTTTTGTAATTATTACTTTTATAACAGTTAACCTTCGGTGTCATTTTGTGCCTTTTAACCACTGCTTTTCGTAAATCTCAACTGCATGACAATAAAAACTGTCTGAATCTTCGTTTCTTAGAATGATAAATGTCGTCTGCGTTTAACCAGATGCTCCTTTTCGATGCACATGATATCACATGCATCTGCGTCAGGATTCCGTCGGTAACTCGCCACCCTCTCCAGGTTTAATTCATTTTCGTCTTTGAACCATGTGAACACCTTTAAATCGTGTAGGAGGGGAGAGCGGAGAAGGCTTGCGCGTGAATTGATTCGTATTGTATAAGGCTTGAGTGATCTTATTTCCTTGCCTCCCACCCAGCATGTTCGCACAAAGAGGCTCTATTTTGGAAGCCGGTAATATGCGTGATGACTTGTGTGGCACAGCTGACCGCCTACACTTATCCCCTTCCTTTAACCGACTGTGATCTGCACAGATTTACCTGCATCATGGGAAGCGTACTGGGTTAAACAGCCTCCTATAGCCAAGTACTTGGCTCAACTGTCAGTCCTTTAAAGTAACTACCGCCTCTGGGCAGCAGCATCGTTCTATGTGTCACTCATTTTCTTCTATACGGATTGGCACCGTCACCTACGAGGTGGTCTGGGAACTGACTACGATGGCGAATCTCCCCCGTTTCTGTAGTTACTGAATCCCCAAGGTTCTCACTCTTTTGCCGCGTGCTACCTTGAGTCAAGTTGATTTAATCCTAGCAGTAGTTCGATTTACCTCCGACCTAAGCTCGAATTCAAGCAGGGGACATACATACATACATCTGCGTCATAAATCGTCGTGCGTAGAACAGCCCCTCAGCGTGCATTAATAACTGCTGCTAGGTTATCATTGCGCTGGCAGCCGTGCCGTAATCGTGACTATTCGCTTAGCTGGGACTAATTCCGCTCGCTGACGAACCAGCCAAAAGAACTTTAGTGGTCTCAATTGGAAGGTATCTCAAACTCTGCGGCAAACGTCACCCTCCACCTGTTGGGGACTCGTACAGATTCGAAATATGTTTTCAGATTACAGGAACGAGCCGACACCTCGATATCTCTAAGAGTAGACGTTTTTATTTTGTTTTTTGAAATCGCTAACAGAGACACTGGGGGATTTCGCACCTTGAGAAGGGCAGGCATTCGATAGTTGAATAAATTACTTTAAGGGTCTGGAAGCAAAATTTGTCGGGCGGGTAGCCGACATTGCTGGCCGACTTTCTTGTTCAAGGCCCTCTGCCTCAAGGTGATGCAACTTCGCGACGAACGCTTTCCGACAGGTTGACCTGAAGATCTTTGACCGACTTCCCCGCGCGTCCAAATAGTCGCGGCTGCCGAAGGGTCCCTTGAAAACACCACTTCTCGGCCGACGGGGCAGTGGGCACTATATGCACAACACACCTTCGGGTAATGTAACGCACTAATCGTAAACCCCTTTAATTTGCTTCACGATCATGTACAAGCAGCTGCCA